CACCCTCAAGATGATCTGTCGCTATTAACGCATCAATGTTTTTCTTTGTATTATTAGGGTCGTTATTCGTTCTTCTTCTCTTCACTTCACTAAACACCCAAACGATTACCATATCAGTACCGACGCCATCATTAACCACTTACAAAGACTTATCAGTCTTGCATTCGGATACACTCAAATGTCCTTGTTCAACTGTAGCAATACCTTATCAAAAATTCGTATCATTTTCTCCGACCTTGCATCAAGTGTGCACAAGTGATTTTGTTGAAGATCGGTGGCTGTCAATCTTGACTGATAGTGCCAATCTTAATATGATAACTGATTGGCGTACGTTAATTGGCCCACAGTTTTCTTTGTTATCGGATCTTTGTCAACTGGCTAATAATACGATACAAGATGCTGTCGATCGGTTTCTTCTACAATCATTTGTCGCTTCAACTGTACTAACTGAAGACAATTTAAATACACAGTTAAATGCAACTCTCAATCAACTTTCTCAATCGACAGTTGTTAATTTTGGATTTCTTGTCGATATAGTACAACTTCTTATGCAAGTTGATCAACCTTTTATGGGATCAGTACAAAGTTCTGGTAGTCAATTCGATTCACGTTTAAGTGCAAATATAACGGGAAAAGGAGACCTAATTTACTTGCCAATGCAGGTACGTCCAGGAGCTTTAAGGATTTCTTTTTTCGGAGTTTTTCTGCAAGTTTAATTACACCTTTTATCATCAAATGGAAGAGGTTAACGATTGAGTTAGATAACTAATTGAAAGTGAATATTGACTCTTCAGAATGATGATTTTCCTTTGTTAAAGTTAAAATGTATTGTATACTCTCGAAAAAAAACTAACTGTAGTCCGTATTTCACCTAAATCGTTAACGTAAAAATATATTTGAAAAACGATAATGATATATTCTGCAAGCGCTTGGAGTTTTCTATCACTCTTTACATATGCATTTTCCTTTGCATTTTTTTATCTTGAGGGTGTGGGTTAACTATGCATCACCCACACTCATCCACCCTCACGATGGTAAAGATTTGGGTAAATATCAACTGCAACCGTTCGTTTTTGGGAAGGATACGAAGCATATGTATAGAGTTTGATAAAGCGAAGTCTTTTCTACAAAATTCACTAAGACAGTAAACCATGAACTGGATATTAATCAAGTTTCTAGCAACTGAATTTGACTATCAGGGATTATTAGTATAGTCCAAGAAAAACGTTTAATAGATTGATAAAAATTAAAAAGTGATGTGTATGCTAATGTACAAGTTGATGAGGAACAAAAATATTTAGTTGCAAACGATTTTTGTCGATTCAATAAGAAAAATTAACGAAAAGAAATTTTTAATTATTTCTTAATCTCATTTATTTGTACTATAAATACAACTGATTAAGCTTTACAAGTTAGGATAACTTTGAGCTAATTCAAAGACATGGGTATTTTTCATGAGAGAAACTATGGAGATGGCTCAAAACTCTGTTTTTTTAGATAACATTTCTTTTGACCGGACCTGCTGATGTCAATACCACCAAAACCAACTGTATTTGCGCCACAAATTCTTCATGTGAAGATCCAGTCACTATCTACTTTAATGATTATTATAAACCTCAGTATTTCTATCCTGAGGTCGATTATGTAGTTCCAGGATCGGCAGCTGGTTGCTCTCCTATTGGTTCTCTTCAACTTTCGACGCTTCAATGTTTTTATTCTGATTCGGATTGTTTTCCAGTTGTAATGAATTACATACAACAAACGTATATTAACGCTGTTGTAGATCCACATTGGTTTGATCCACGTCCACTCATTTATGATCCAACATCGAGTCGTTTTCCTCCAAATACCTCAATTAAAATGATAATTAAAGACATTATGATCGAACAATGGAATCCATCTACGTCATATAAACGTTTTTATGAATTATGTGCACCACATTACTGTACTTATTCTCAAATAGGTCAAAGGAAAACCATTCTTGAAGTAGCAGTAACATTGGTGTCGTTAGTTGGTGGTCTTATAGTCTCCTTACGTGTCATTACACCTCAACTCGTAAAGTTTTTAATTGGCTTGTTGGGAATTATAAACAAAAGACACCGACAACAAGAACAACAACCAGGTAGTTGTTGACTTTTTGTCTATAAATTAATTATTTTGACATGATAAAGTTGTGTTTTTACGATCGAATTTCTATAAGATGTGCAAGAAAATATATTTTCTTCATGTTTTCCAACTTTTAGTAAAACCTGACAATTGAGATCTTCTAACACATTTGCCATTTTTTCGAGGTGCATGTTTACGATTGTCGTAAACGATAGTTTACAATCGTTTACGTTATATAAACGGTCGTATAGCACCGTAACTCCGCGTAAACCGCTGATTAAAACTCATATTGAGGAATTTGAAATATTAGCGAAAAACTTTTCAAGAATTTTCTCATCAATAGAATTTTTTATCCCAAAGATATCTCTATTATGAGATTTTTCTAAGATTTTTACTTTCACTCAAACAGCTGTCAAGGTACACTTTCTTGATTGTAAATTCTCAAAAAAGATCTTTATTTTTGCTGTCGTTTTTCGGATTTTTCGTCAGTTTGAAATTGTTAAAAATTCATTGAAGACAACTTTAATTAGCAAATCAATTAGGGTTAATATTAACCTGTAAAAACTTCTTATACTTACGGTCCTGAGGAGTGTGAGAACATATCGATACAATATAAGATAACTTCAAATCACCTATCTTAGAATTGGTTTAAAATATAAAAATGAATTGTCAACGTTAACGATCGTTGCCGGTTTACTTATGATTGATGTAAGTGAGTAAAGTGATCGGCTATCGTATTCTGTTATAATTCATTAGCATACGACTGAATCTCATTGACCTTAGTTGTTAGATGAGATTTTTAAGATGAAAATCTAAATACAGAATGACCTTTCAGATACGAAAGAGTGTGTCTCACTGATTTTACTTATATTAATATTACTTATTGTTGTGATCTATTTAAAAAAGTTTTGATCTGAGCAGCTTAAGCTTTGTACTTATTTCATGATCAGAGAGAGTATAGAATTTGTCTTTTTGCACATAGTTCGTCGCAAGTGGTTCGATCGATTGAAAATGATAAGTCGAAAATTGATCAATCTTGTGTACACCCAGTCGATTGGTCTAAATATATTTGCTGTACGAGATTTTGGCAGTAATGTTGATCAAGGAACAGCTAAACGTCTTGGCCGATGGTCTACTCGTCTCTACATAGGTCTGCTTATCATTGGTTTCGCTATTCTCGGCTTATATAGCCTTGTTCAACCTCAAAGTCTGACCAAAACTTTTAATAGACCATCTTTCGATTTATATCACCAACTCAATGAACATTATGGTGATAAATTAAAATGTTCATGTTCATT